CGATATCCTGAGAGTTATTATTACCTTCGAGCAAACATCTTAAGACATTTCTCGCCATTACGAGAGACTTTACCACGTGGCGCTGTACATAACTGAACGCAATGGGTCTGAGGAATATATTATACTTAATCGTCGAAATACAAAACACTTTGCAATGTGAAAACTTGTACGAAATCTACAGTACGTTTAATATCGGGGATATTTTATTCTGGAAAATAAATGGCCGAATTTCTATTTTATTACAATGGCTTAAACGTTGAGAAGAACGGATTGAAAACTAGCATTAGGAGAATAAGGCCACTAAAATGCGAACGCTTTATTTTAATCCTCGATAATCACTGCAAGATTTTAGAAGTTAATTTCCATTGCTGTCGGAGCATATACCAATGATATTGCTATTGCACCTAAAATGCAAACATTCCCTTTTTGTGGGAGATTATCAATTGATCCCAAGTGCGGCAACAATCATAGTCGATGAAAGCATGTTTACGCTTCGCAATGATTGAATTGAGAATGCAACGACTGGCGAATGCGGATTCATATAAATTTTTGAAATATGCAATCCCGTTTCTTGTATCCCGCCTATATGTACTAGTTTCTGGTTACGACGCTTCGAATTACACACGCGCGTCGTGTTGCGTAAAATTGCATTCAGGAGCGAATATGATGCCGCGTAATATCTATTGCGCGTTCATAATTTCAATGTTAACGTGATGCTTGCGCGAGTAATACATTTTATGCGCGTTACATGAGCAAGTTGCGCCACACCATTGTGGCACTGCAGGATAATAAACATTAAGGATATTGCGTGCGCACAGCAGTAACAAGAATAAGAAAATGTTCTTCAATTTAATTTTGCAATTTGTTTGTACAATTTAGATTCCTCCCACGTAGCATTTTCCCCCCCTGATACGGTGCTGGAGTAGCAAGAAAATATAAACAATTCTTTGTAGAAATTAATTTTATTTTCCGTTTTGATTCTCAAACAGGTCGGTTTTGCTCTATGGTCGCGTAACGCGAGCCATTTTCCGCACAGCTCTCGCAATCGGCATTATTAACGTACAATGGATGTTGAAACAGGAAATGTCAAAGCTGTCGTATTAATGACGTTTCGCCGGCCGATAATACAAGCCACAATGTGACGTTAAACCACGTATTATGGCGACGCGAGGTGGTGATCCGGATGGTCCACTTGGCATGCGTTGCTATTATTATGTGCCTTAAAATCGATCCTTACGAAATAACGAAAAGCCATACGACGAAAAATATACGCACGATTCATTCAATATTCATTAATAAAAGAGAAGTTTTTAAAAACTAGAAACGTACACCCACACGTAATTGCAACACATCTCTTTAAATTACGTAATATTCTCGTAACAATGTAAAATAAATTTTGACCTTTCACAATTAATATAAAAACAATAATTCCTAATTATTTCAAACCAAGTTTTTATTAAAAATTGTATGAAATTCTTGAAACTTTAAATCGTCGGATAGTTTCACATTTCGTATATTTCTTCAATTTTAAAAAGAGATTTGTTTGACACATTTCTTAATGTTAATGTAACGTGGGAGAGAGTTTCATTTTTAAAAGTTGTTTTTTCTAAATTAAATTCTAAATTATTATCGATAAGTTAATTTCATTTGTCATAAAATTGGCTTTCATGAACATCAAAAATGTTCTGTGAAAATGATTGAATGCTTCCCTCGACGATCGCCTTTAATAACGAAATACGGAGTTGCAATGGCCGACAAAAAAAACTGTTACGCATTTCTTTGTTTGTCACGCTGCATTACAAAAACCGTATTTAATTAAATTAAATGTATTTAATACGTCTAATAGTGGGTAATATTGAAGCTTTTATATTGTCGATCTTTTTAAATTTATATTCTTTATCGTAGTGCACTTTTTCCGCGTAGTTTCTCACTTTACAAACCTCAGCATGGCTTTGGGATGCGGCTTTAACGCAGGCAAATAAAAGTTTGCAATCTGCGCACTCCCATGCATCTGCACTTTCCATTGCATTCGTGGTCTCGAATGACATTACTAAAAAAGGGGGGGGGGAGAAAAAACTCTGTTTCTCATTGAGATTTGTATTAGAGAATTTTTTTTATTCCAGAAAACACTATTCAGCAATAATATATCGTTAGTGCTCTTGTATCTATTTCCTTTGAATATCTCCTTGAATTGTTTTATCTAAATTTTTATTCGCCCCCCCCCCTCTCTCTCTCTACACGCGCTACATATTTATTTGATGCTCAGTTACCTACGATAAAAAATTTGATTTCATCAGTCGTCCAGAAATTTTCCAAGAGAAAGAATTTTGTAAAATTCAGAGCACGTTCCGCACATTTTTATTCAGCATTAATTGAACACCAATTAAAACCAATGTTAAATCGAAGAAGTGACATAGACTTGAGAAGAAAGAAAAATATGAGGAGCACGAAATTGTAAGTTTCAATTGAGTAATTTGCAAGTAACATTCACTTATACTTTCCAACATCCAAGATTTTCGCATTTTCAAGAAGCTTCACGTCCAAAGTTATTGACAATCGATATTAAACGTGAGTTCGTTACTGATGCTCGTTTGTTTGGCGGAGCGAAGTAATTGGGGCAAGTGAATCGCTAATTAGGTCACTTTGTGCATAAGTAAGCTCTATGGCTTTGACAGGGAGATTAATTAATTGTTGTCCGTGCACGTTTCGGGTCCGGCTTTCAAACAAGCTGCAGGTTTTTTTTTCAGTCTACGGTTCTTCTAGCGAAATTGTAATTGCACTTTACCGAAACGCTCTTTTGTCGCCCGTTGCATTACTTGTCTTAATTCGTCTTATGCAGGCCGTTAAACTTTGCCGTTAACGACCGGCTGTATTAGCATACGAATGGATTGGAGTTGGTCGACTTGCGATTTCTCTTAACACAAGGCTACGCGATAGTCAAGCTTTAACAACGTAATACTATTATGACACAGTGGGAGTTTCTGAAATGTTATTAATATGACGTAGCTTGTGTAGCGAATCATTCTCGCGGGAATTATGGTGAAGATTATGGACGAAAGTGCGTATTTGAGTGAAATTTATAGCGTTAAAGTTTGCGCATATTTGACGGGAATGCAGTTCTATCAAGTTTCGCTTAATGCACGAGTATCGGATGTGAGTGAAACCGGAGGTGAGATACGTATCCGAGTGATGCAGAAATTCTCACGCAATATTTATGATAATATTCTGTATTTTAATAGGTTCAATGATTAAAATGTTCTTCTCGTGCACGGTGAAATATTATATTTAATTCGATATCGCAGTGATTCGGCTGTGTGTACGTGTTTGTTAAACAACTGTTGAAACATTTTCATGAAACGTGAATTATTTTATAAAGCACACACACACACACACACATATAAATAGATATAATATTATATCATGTTACATTTTATATAGTCGCAGTATATTTATTCTTGCATTACATTATCATGACCAAACTCCATCGTCAGTCTCTTTACAACGTCATCGATTTTCGATAACGCTTATAAGAAACCGACGGTGACGTCGGTTTACATAAAAACAACGTGATTCTTGTAATTAAAAGTGATCATCGATTGCTCCCACGCTATCTCAAGTATCATGCGCCTTTTCAGGATACAGCATCATCGAGAGCGCGATGTCTCTCTACATCAACTACTTTACTACCGAACCCGGTAGCGGTCTATCGAAAAAAAAAAGTTTGTGTGTGTGTATCTTTTGCAGGTCGGCCAGGCCCTTGCCATGCGATGTCGTTGCAGAGCCCCAGACTTCGACATTACAGGTCGAAACATCAAATCAGATATATGCCTTCTAAAAAAGTTTTCAGTATGTGCTGTATACAATGAGAAAAATAATATACATGCGGCTCTCTCGCTCTATAGTAATTGTATATATATATATATTATATTGTGTAATATATATATACCTCGAGTTTCTTTATGCATCCACGCTTTTGGAATGACGTTCATCGGCGCTCGCGAAACACGCTGCGGTAACATTTCTAAACCGGAGGCTGATATCGACTTGTGTGATCTCGACGATCTCGAGCTTTGCATACGTTAGAACGCGTTCGAGCGTTCGCTCTCGCTGCTCCTAAAGTCTACATTATTCATATCTATGCTAATTCCGAAGCGACGCGTGAAGAATTCAATTTTACATGTATTAAACATCAAACGGTATGTCACCGTCGCAATCATTTTATGTAGCGCGAATGCCTTAAAAGTGAAGGTGAACGACGCGAGAAAATTGGTATTTCTCTTTCCTTTAATTTGGTATCCATAAGTGTCGTGTTCGTCGTCGGAAATTGATGTTAAATTTGATTTTCTAAATGTTGATGTGAGAATGTTTGCGGCATTTGTTTTGCAAGATCTACTTACTCTGCTCGTTGCGCGACGACTTTTCAAAAGTATTTCGCGTTGCTTTCGAACATTTCGCATTCGCGCTAAACGCAACCCGAGATCCTTGATGGCAATTGTCACGTGTCTCTATCAGAAGTCGAGCGTAGTCGAGCTTACACAACCGTCACTCCCGTTTTCAACTACTACACTTGCGTTCTTGTGTCTATTGTACATTGTTAGAGTGTTGTTCTACTTAGCTACGTTTGTATTATCTTGGATATCTCGTTAAGCTCTTTCGATCGTATCTACGAAGTGGGCGAAGTAGACGAAGCGTGGTTTCGCGGCGATAAGAAGGGCAGGAAGAGGCTTCGCACCTGTATACATCAATACTCGGCGCGCCTCCGCCTGCCGTACATCACGAATACCGGGATAGCTGTTCGCGCGGAATCGAGCATGACAATCGTCTCGTTGCGATCGCGCCTTCCCCCTTTGAGGGCTCGTAAGGGAAACCACGACTTCGACAAATTATCACTTTTAAGCGCTCTGTTGGCATGGCCTGGTTTCACATAACTTTATCGTTGAGAGATGCACCTTCTTCTTCCGTTGAAAGTTCTTCCGTTCCGCTTGCGAGCGGACGCCGGCGCTTTGCCTGCCGGCTTAAACCGAGACCGTGCGCTTCCTCTTTTCCAGGACCATGACAGCGATCTGCTTCGTGTGCAACCTGCCGATCCTGAGTCATCAGGTCGGGCTGATATGGCAGGGCGGCAACGGCTGGGACGACCTCGTGCGAGAGCAAGTGGAGGAGTCCACTCTGAGGCAACGTCTGGGTATGCATAGACACGCTTTTACCCCGTAACCAGTATTTTTCGCGCGAGAGCACATTATGGAAATTCGTTGGTTTTCTCATGCAAAAGTGCTTTGAATTCATTTTCGTGCGGATTGCAATGGGCGGTGCGTACGTTTTGTGGGAATATTAAAGTCGGAAGTTAATGGTATTTATGCTCTTTTCGTTCTCTTTTCCAGTAAAATGCATTTTTTTTTAAAGCGGCACGAAATACAAAATTATAGAACGAAAGAATAGCGGTATAAAGAAATTTAAATACGTTTTCACATATATTTTTAATTCCCGTGCCATTTTCTCAGGCATTAACACGCGTTAATAATATTTCGCTATTTATAATTTACTTTATTAGGGATACAACAACTCCCATTAAACTCGCATTACTGTTGCGTTCTCCTAAAACAACTCGATAACAGGACATTATCTCACAATTTATCACTCCGAGCTCTTTAGTAGAAACGCGTTTGTCCTCAGGAACGGGCAGACGAGACTCCGCGGCGCAGATCACGTCGATCTCGCCACCGAACGAGACTCAGGATTGCTCGCCGACGAACCAGCGCCGTCGGCGATCGAGCCTCGCTCAGCTCACCGACATTCTGCGCGAATGGGGTGGCGGAGGTATCTCCACGAAGAGCAGCCGCAGCAACAAGCTCTGCCGAAGGGAGACCTTGGCGGACATCGCCAAGTCACTGCCGTGGTCGCGACAAACCACCACTGACGCCAGCCACCTGGTCAGTCTGCGAAAGAGGCGGGAGAGCTCGGTCGACAGCGGCATCCGGAGTCAGGTGTCGAGCAAGTCCAGACGGGACTCCGCCATCAGTGACCTTAAGAACGACATAGCCAGACTCTGGAGCAAGAAGGATGTGCTGCTGCAACCGCAGCCGCCGCCCACGGTCATCTCGCCCACGCCGCGTCGAGGTGAAATTTTCAGCGAGAGTAGAGCACCTCGCTTCATCAGTAGCATCTAAAAACAGCGCGCGCGCTTACCTCCACGTCGGGGCCCTCCGTTTCGTGGATTCAACGAAAGTGGATCCGCGAATTTCGCCTGTCGCTGGAAGTAGACCTTGGGGAACGATATGTCTTGCACGTGCGGTCGTGGACTTTATATTCGGAAAAAATTTCGTTTTGTTCAGGCCTGCGTCCACGAACTTGGACCGAGTTACTTTCCGTATTCCGATTCGGACTAGACGGAAAAAATCTTCGAAAAGACGACCCCGTACCCCATCTTCTTCCAGCGATCGTGACGACACGACGTGTAGACTTGTATGGAACGTTCGAAACGATACTGCACGCGTTTGATAATTTTGAACGAATTTCATTTACGCCGGCGAATCTTATGAACGTTTACACAGAAATCAGTCTTCGGGCGACATAAAGGAAACTCACCTCGACGAAAGAGATGTATTTAAATTATTAAACAAATTACAAGCGTATCTTATTAATTGCTGTATCATTGCAGGCTCGGGCGAATCGAAAAACTCTCGCCGCGGTTCGGGCGAGAGCGCCAGGTCTAGGAGGGATTCGGTGATTACGGGACAATCTCAGAGCCCAGGCGATCGCAAGCACAATTGTCGTCATCACAGACGTAGGCAATCTCAGCAGTCTGTCGACGGAGGTGGCGTCACGCCTACGAAGTATTACAGAAATGATCAAAGGCCGAGCGCTTCCAGCACAGACAGCGCGGGCAGTAATACGGTTCGGTTAGTTAAATTACAATAGTCAATTAGATCCTGATGAATACTTAATAAACATAATTGAGATAATTGAATTTAAGTAACTCCCGGTTAATTAATTTTCAAATAATCGATACGTAAGGAATTGTACGCCACACGCAATGTATTGCACGATGCTGAATAATACGGGACCTACGCGGAGTTTTTTGTACCTAAAATTCACCCTGGGTGGCGTTTCGTTTCACGTACGATGCGCATGCATCATTTATCTTTGTTATTCGCCAAATGTTAAAGAAGGATGAACGATGGACATTATCCACGTCACGCGTGAAACGAAACGCACCTCTGAAAGTCATGTAATCGTGCCACTGAACAAAAAAATCTGATAGATTCAACCAGTCGTCTGTTAGAAAACGGACGAATCAGAATTCCTTTATGGCAGTGAAGTCTAGCAAACTTCTGGTTATGAAATATCTTTCGTGGTAAATCCTACAGGAATTCTGACTCGTCCATTTTCTAACAGACGACTGGTTGAATTTATCAGATTTTTTTTTCAGCGTGGGACACATTTCGAAGAATTTTATGCGAGCTTTTTGAAATTTTACTAGCAAAATGTATGACAAAGTTCTTGAAAATGCCACGTTGTTGTCCCGCGATCATGATTTTCAGGATAAACTTTAAGAGAAATTTCTCATTCATGTTTGGAACTTTGGGCCCACGTATGTTTGGGTGTTGGTAGAGTAAGACGTAACTCGTTGACGAGTCTTCTTTTATCAGAGAACATCTGGAGGCTCAGAGAAATTCCACGGACAAAAGCGAGAGGTCGAGCAGCTTCGAAGCCAAGACCCAATCGACGGGACCCATCATGGTCGATGCAAAGACGATGATGACGTCGTCCTTGATAGTCAACGGGAAGGCGTCGGCCTCGACGACGACCGAACCGAGGACAGCGACGGTGTCGATAAACACCTCGCCAGTGATGTCGACCTTAAGCGTGGACACGAGGGGCGCGATTGAGAAATCCAGTCTGGACGTATCCGTGAACCCACCAACCATCGTTATGTCTTCGGTAACGCCACCGGCGATCTCACCGACGGCCGGAAGCAGCCTTCCGCTGCCCGGAACGTCGACTTCCGGTAGCTCCAGCCCGGTCGGCTCCCCGAACGTCAACAACACACCTACGCATCCGTTACTTTCCACTCGAAGGGACTCAACCACGCAGGTAGCGGTTATCGATAAAGTTCTTTTCCCGACAAGGGATAACAATTAGTAATTTGGGACATAAGCTGCTATTTTTTGCCACTAATTTAACAAAAATTGAGCCTCTTTAATAATTTTCTAATGAGACGGTCCGATTGCCTTTTTGACTAGAGATCTTCAATTTCACCTGAGGGTAGTTTATCGTAGATTTTATAACGTTCGTCGATTCTTTCGACAGTGCAATTTCAAGGGTAAAGAGGTCTCGCCGAGCAAACTGTCGAGGCTGATACGCCAGCACGCAGCAATTGATGAATCGATGCCACCCACGGGACGTCGTGGTAGTCAGCCAACTTTATCACCGGATCCTGATGACGGGGGTGAGTACCAACTGCTGTTATAGATGATTTAGTTTTGCATGCACAATGATACATATAGAAAAATTAAGTTCCACGCATTGCTTGTAATGGTTCGTAATTAATATTCTTATCTTATTTCACAATAAAAATTTCACACGTAAAATATATTGTCCAAATCATCGCATAATAATATCCTTTTAAATTTTAATAACTGCGGTATTGAAATCTTTCGTAAACTAAACGCCTTGGAAAAAATTCTATTGTGCATAAATAATGATTGGAGAAAGTATTGAAGAAGTTTCTGCAATTGAGTAAGTCACAGCTACATTAATCTTGTTGAAGGCCGGAAAGCACGGAGGGACTCCTTGAGCCCGGATTCTGCTTCCTACCTGCGACGTCGCGATTCAAAAAGTCATCTGAGTCCTGATAGAAACGTCGATAAAAGGGATATCAGTCCTATCAGGCAGAGAAAAGGTCGATTGAGAAGACAGTCCACCTCCATGGCTGGTCGGCCACCACGGTACCTACATTTTATTGATTTTTTTAACATATAGAGGAAAGTACCCTATGAGACAGGCTCCTAATATGAGATAGTTTCTGCTGAATAGGCATCGTCTGTTGGTTGCGCCATGAATTTATTGCCCTTGGAAGGAAATATTGTTTAGTGGACAATTTATTGTTAGATCGTGTAATTGATGCGAAAAAAAAAAGATTTGTGATTGAATTTGGGTGTTGAAAACCTGCTATCTCATATTCGAATCCTATCTCGTATGTAGAGGATTTTCTTCTACATATTAATACGATGCTTCGACTTACTCTTGATTTGAGAAATTGTCATTTTTTAATATTTTCTTTTAACATTGTATGCTTCTGTATTAAAATATTGTTACATAATTATTTAATCTTTTATAAATTATTTTTATTTTACATACATATAATATTTTTAGATAACTTTATTATTTCGAATTATTTGTATCCAAAATGAGAAAAAATTATAACGAATTAATTTGTAATTAAGACGTTTTCTCTTTACATTGTAATTACGAAATAAAGTTTCACGCAAATGAATCGAAACGGATAGAAAAATTGAAGCGATAATTCCGCGAAAGTTTGCAAATATGCTTAATATCTATTTAAATTCCGAATTCGTTCTGTGTCTCACAATGAACTTTGTATTCGCAGATCACCAGACAGTTCCTCGTGTTCGTCCAGAGAACCCAGTCCTTGCGCCCGCGCACCCGGCAGTATCCACCATGCGCCGATAATACGACGACAATCCACCACGGAGGAAATCCTGATAGCGCGCGGTTTTCGACGGCAGAGCACCACCGAAGAAATGATACGATGCCGCAATTTCAGGCGACAGAGCTCTCAGAGCGACGACACGGTTTGTTTCTCTCGACAATTCGCAGAAATAAATTCTGTCTTGAGACAAACGTATTAAAAACATAACCATTTCCATTTCTATTAACAAAAGAATCATCTATCAGGTCAGTAAAGAATTTTTATAAAAATTTTCAAGTTGGAGGACATTAAATACTTAATTTCCAGTAGCACTTTCCTTATTTCTGAAATTAATTTTATTAGATACAATTAGTCTCAATATTTACAAAATATTTTCCTTAAATATATTTTCTTAAAATCGAGTATCGACAAAAAATATTAAATTACTTTTTTATAACAGAACATAAGAAAAATTCTTTGTCTTTTTACTAAATAGTAATCAATTCGTTTAAGGGGATGCTGGAGTGATTCTGCACTTTCGCACCTTTCGCACTTAAAACTGTCTGTTTCGTGGAAAGATGT